TCTGCACAAATGGCATTTTTCATTGATCACTTTTAGCTGGGCAGCTTTATGAGACTTCATTTACAATTATAGTACAAGAAATCAATTCTTGTGGATATTATTTACACATGGATGGGCAAGCTATGTTGTAGAGGTTTGACCCAACTTTGCTTTCTCTCTCTCTCTCTCTCTCTCTCTCTCTCTCTCTCTCCCCCTCCCTCCCTCCCCCTCCCCCCCCCACAAATAAGTAGAGCACAAATAGTGTAAGGTCTTGAATATGACCATTCACACCTCACTTATCTTTTTAAAAAATGCACAGTACCAATGTACTGTGGTACAAGTGCCACAAGTATATCTGGCAGAGAAGATCAATGTTTCTCAATCTTGGAAGCTTCCTGAAGTGTGGCCTTCTGTACCCAGAATTTTCCAGCCACTATGCTCCTTCTTGAGAATTCTGGGAGTTGGAAGTCCATACAACTTAAAGTTGCTAAGGTTATAAAAGGGTATATTAGATCTCCAAGATTCTTTCCATTCTAGGATTCAATGGACTCTAAAAAGATGATGGCTAGCTTATTGTTACCTCCTCCAAAAATTTGAAAGTTAGAACTACAAAGCTAGATTTGTGAGGCATTTTGAGAATGAAATCACTGTTCTTCATGCTAACCTGACTTCAGTTCTTTTTACAGTTTGCTATAAAATGTCCTGTGCACTATCTAGTTTAATTCTGATCAGGTGGACATAGATGCTAATCTAACTCAAAACCTGAGGGAAAAGTCAGGTGTTGAAGACTCATTGAAGAATAGCAGGGTTGTGATTTTTCAAACCCCCAGGAGACACCATTCCTTCCATTCTGTCAGGTACCATGACAGAGAAGGCATTCTTCCTAGATTCCATCAGATAGTATTGCTAAATAGGTGGTATCTGAAGCAAACCCATTCTGTTGGATCTTAGGGGCAGAGACAGTAGGAGAAAGGCAGCCTCTCAGATAGCCAGTTCCTAGGCATAAAGGGTTTTCTATGTGATAACTACCTAGAAGCTGATACCATAAAATTCTTATACAGGTAGTCCTTGAGTTACAACCACAATTGAGCCAAAATTTAGGTTGCTAAGTGAAACAATTGTAAAGTGAGTTTTGCTCCATTTTACCAATTTTCTTGCCAGAGTTGTTAAGTGAATCATTGCATTTGTTAAGGTAGTAACATGATTGTTAAATGAATCTGGATTCCCCATTGACTTCATTAGCAGGAAGGTCGCAAAAGGGAATCATATGACCCCAGGACACAGCAATAGTCATGAGCCAGTTGCCAAGCATCTGAATTTTGATCACATGACCAAACGGTCATAAGTGTGAAAATCGGTCATAAGTCCTTTTTCACATCCCATTGTAACTTTGAACGGTCACTAAATGGAACTGTTGTAAGTTGAGGACTACCTTTAACAGACAACAACCTCATACCAGACTGTATCTCCTGCCATTCTCCTAAATTGTCCAGATAGAAAGTTCTCACCTCACCTATCATGGATTTGTCCCTCTACTCCTAAGAAAACATAGGTCCCTTAAGATCTTTATCTCCAGTGCTCAGAAATTCAGAATTCAAGAAACCTATTGCCAATTCCGAAGCGCAAAGGAAGGCTGCATAACCCTGCTGACTTGCATAGAGGGAAGGTTTCAATTAAAAATGGCTTATTACATATTGAAGCCAAATCTCCAGTTATATAAAGGAGTTCATTGGGAAAAGGCAAATGTGTAGGAAACACAAGGGAAGGCAATACCCAGCTTTCTAATTAAAATCGATACAGTCAGCGTAGCTAAATTAGTTTCTTAATGCCCCCTTAAACTCTTGGATTTCAGCATATTTTCAGAGGTCATTACAGAAAAATAGGTGTAGGGCTCCTGCTTGGATTTTATTTTTATGGTGTAGAAGATAATTGAAAGGCAATTTCATTTAGGGAGATAGATTGCCTCTTTGTCCAAGAAAAAAAAAATGTATCTCTGATGTCCAAAACCTAGCTGGCAAATTCTAAATTATATGGTGACTAAGCTCCCCTAACTTCCTTTAGTTGAATTCTAAAACGAGAGCCTGTTTGTTCTGGTGGTTGAGGCTTCATCAGTTTGGAAATGAGGACTGTGAGTTCTAGTCCCCCCCTTAGGCATGAAAGCCAGCTGGATGACTTTGGGCCAGTCATTCTCGCTTAGCTCAGTTCACCTGACAGGGTGGTGGTTGTGTGGAAAATAGGAGGAGGAAGGGAGAATTAAAGGTGTTCACCACCTTGAGTTATTATATAAAAAATAATAAAGGGGTGCAGCCTTGTTTTCACCAGTTGTGCCAATGTATTAATGGGACTACTACATGGGGGAGGGTTTTTTTTTGGGGGGGGGAAACAAAAGCTGAGATTTATTTATTTATTCCCCATTGACTTTGCTTGTCAGAAGGTCACAAAGAGTGAGCGCCTGACCCCGTGAGACTGCAACCGCAAACCATCATTAATACTTGCCAGTTGCCAAGTGCCTGAATTTTGATCACATGACCGTGTGTATGCTACAACCGTTGTAAGTGTGAAAAATAGTCAAAACTCACTGTTTTCAGTGCAGTGCTTTTGTAACTTTGAATGGTTGCTAAGTGAACTTTTGTAAGACAAGGCCTACCTGTAATAGTCATAAATTGCAATAAACAGATGGAAATATTGTTTTTTCCCCCAACATTGAATGTATGGTTTGAGAGTGGAACCAAAACCAAGGTTACTAAGGGTGGTGATGACCTTACTTTTTATAGGACATGTTGAAGCAGAGGCTAGAAACTATCTGTCTGCCATTTCATAGTTTGGATTTCAGCAGTGAACAGGATTGGGCTTGCTGTCCTTAACTTCCCATTGTAAATCCCAGAGGTGCTTTTTCAAAAAGTAACTGGATTTTCTTTGTTTGCTCGCATCCAAGAACCTTCAGTTCAGAACATTTTCAAGGAAAAACGAAAGAAAGTTGAAGTTACAGTGGTACTGAAAAAAGTGACTTAATGACCATTCACACAACCATTGCAGCATCCCCATGGTCATATGATCAAAATGTAGATGCTTGGCAACTGACTCATATTTATCATAGCTGCTATGCCTGGGATCGTTTAATCGCCTTTTGCGACCTTCTGACAAGCAAAGTCAATGGGGAAGCCAGATTCACTTAACAACCATGTTATTAACAACTGCAGTAATTCACTTAACAGCTGAGGCAAGAAAATTATAAAATGGGGCAAGACTAACAGTTCTCTTGCTTAGCAACAGGAAGCTCAGTTGTGGTCATAAGGTAAGTTGCGGACTACCTGTAAGAGTAATTTCTCCTTCCATACAGAGGAGTTACTACAAGAGAGGGAAGGGAACAGGCAGCAGGGATGAGTAAGGGACCAGGGGGGAGGAATGGGGGTGTGAGGCAAAATTGTGGGGCAGATATGGGGCTGTGCTGGGTTATCAGTGGTTGAGGGGAAGCAGAAGAGAGAAGATTCTGAGAAGATGGGGTGGGTAGACAAACGAGGGAGGAGGAGGAGAGGGCAATGAATATCAGCTTTGCCGTGCTTGAACCTTAAAATCACTCTGGGACTCCTCTTAAATTTTTATGTCTTCTGAACCATCAACACTATTTTGGTTTTTGTTTCAAGTTTGCCAGGGTTCATCTGAAATAGTTTGGCAGAACTTTCAGGTTTGAAGCAAAATGTAATTTTCTTATTGAAGGTGCTTTTCTTCACAGCATAGTAAATAAAATTGTGTATATTTATGAAAACACTAGGAGGATGAACAATGCATTTCTAATAAGGTAGCAGAGAGGGAAATTGCATAAGATGATAATTGCCCCCTATGGCATGTTGTTGATAATAGTCAATGGCTGCTGTTAATTGCCTGTAATTGTTCCATTGGTATAGTAACCATACCGAGTCACAGCTTTTGTGTTACCATGATCATATGTCAGCAGTGCTCAAGTTACACTGTTGTGTTACTGTGCAACTGAGGTTTTAATGCAGTAGAATCTGTAAAGAACTGACTTTCACCATCTGGGGTTCTCCAGAACTACCATTTTCTAGTAAATGACATGTTACTGGACAATTTTCTGGATATGGTTCAAGTCCCAAAGCTCAGATGCTTTATGAAACACTTACAGCAAAACATTTAGTTTGCCAAAATGGTTTTCCAAAACATTCACTGACAATATTAGTAAGAGATCAGACTTCAGCCCATCTGGAAGTTTTTTGGTTGAAATGACAAATTGCTACCTTTTGCGGGTGGGGGGAATCTGTAAAATGGAAATAAAAATATCTAACTCAGAGTGAATTCTTTGTAGTGTCTATTAACTCAAAATGTATTATTTCATATTTGCTATATTTTATCAGTGCAATCTTACAGCAGATGTTGGCTGTAGTACTTTCATGCATGTTTGCTGGCTTGCCATATTTTTTTAAAAAATGTTTCATAATATAAATAAATTTAGAAAAGAACTTTTCCCTTGCCAGTGACTTCAGGTTCTGCAAAGTATATAAACTGCTGTTCTTTAATCATACAATTGTAACTTTTAGAACAGGTGCCCAAATCATTTTTTTCCCTACTGCCTTTTTTTCTTTTTCTTTGTTAGCTATTTTTTTAAAAGAAATTTTGCTTGTTTGTAATTTAGGGGCTGCCTAACTCCAAAAGGCTCTGGGTGATTTACACTTTAAAAGCAAGAACAATAAAAAATAAACAGCAAAACAACCCAAAAAACCCTATAAAGGTTCAGTGACTGCCTGGGAAAACACCCAGGTTTTCAACAACTTTTGAAACATCATTAAGGTGAAAGCAGAATGAATCTCTGGGGAGATACTATTCCAGAGGACAAGCATCACAACAGAAAAGCCATTTAATCTAAGAGCAACAGTTACCATCGTGCTGATTGTTACAAACCACTCAGGCAGTCTTTTGGGATAATGAGTACTGAAAGTGCTTTGCTGTTGAGAATCTTTTATGTTTGGAATGGGAAATAATTAACTAACTTATTCTTTGAATTTCAGGAAACTATTTGTAGGAGGCCTAGATTGGAGCACCACACAAGGTAAATTGATCTGCCTCTTATATTGGTCCTGAACATCTTAACTTAAAACTATCTCATGATCAAAAGTATGAGTTTCTCCCAGTTGAAAGCAGGACACTGCACCTTACAAGATCCCAAGAAGGACTTGTCTTTGGCCTTTTGTGGTTTCTTTTTGAATGGCACAACCCCAAAATCCATTCATTAATGGTTCTGCATCCTCTGTTCTCCTTTAAGGTACAGAAAGAAGTGATAGGTAGGCTGGTCTTCCTAGGGCTCAAACAGAAATCTTCAGAAATTTCCCTTGATTTTTAAAATCCTGCTTGCGTATATTGGCCCATTGACCACCACCATCATATCCCCCTTCAGTTGACCTTGTTATTCTGAACAGAGCTCCACTACTTCTCTAGCCCCGAGTGATTGGAAACCCATTTCAAGGTAATACTATTTTATATGTTGCTCTCTTTGTCCTAAAGAGAAGGGGCTTATAACTGGTTGACTCGAGTCATTCTGGGCTTATTGCAGTGTGTTGAACACCATACTCTGAATGATACTTGACAGGAAGGTTAAAATTTGCAAAGGCATTTTTAGCTTGCAAGATGGGGAGTGGGAGAAGAAAAAGGCAAATATTTGGTCCAACAATGGGGAGGACTCTGGAACTACAAAAGGAGTACCAGAGGGCCACATATTGTATTTTTCATCCCCAGAAGCATGTCTTCACTTACACCTGAGAATATCCTCCTGTAAAATTGCAAACTACCTGGGGTGCCTTTATTTCCGTATTGGTCCAAATTTTATTTTTAACAGACTGATCTCAACAAAGCATGTTTTTTGTTTAACAGAAACCCTCCGTAGCTATTTTTCCCAATATGGGGAAGTTGTCGACTGTGTAATAATGAAAGATAAGACTACAAATCAGTCAAGAGGATTTGGATTTGTCAAGTTCAAAGATCCCAACTGTGTGGGAACTGTCCTGGCCAGCAGACCCCATACGTTAGATGGCCGAAATGTAAGTTATTCCACTTGGGTACAGGAATACAACTGCGTGTCCAATTGACTCTTAACATGAATGTGATTAAATAATGCCTTTTGAGCAATAATGTCTTTGCTGAATCCTGACTCTACTGGAGACTAGGACCTACTAGACCTCAGCTTTATTTTACATGCCGCCCCTACTATTTGAATATAATCTGCTCCAGGACCTGAGGTTGGGACATTAGATGGAGAGTTTTTTGTTGATAGTTTTATTTGAGTTTCTCCTTGGTGACCATTGTAGTTTTTTATTATTTGCTAACATTTTTATTGTCTTGATGTGCTGTTGGTGCCCAGAGTTGCTTTCATCACTTGGGCAGTGATATAAATCGGTTTAATAAGTGTATATAAGAAATCACTTCTTTATGACTTCAATTATTGTCCTTTCCCTCCTTATTTTGGGAGTTACTGCAACATTCTAAATTCCTGGGTTAGCCATCATCAACGTAAATACAATGGTAGAGTTTGGATCTACTAATGTTACTAAACCTCAACAGTGATTGTGTACTACATTGTCATATACCATTTCAGGCCCAATAGCTTCTAAAAAGAGAAACTTTTTCTTTTGGTTTATAATGTCATCTGTACTGGGTCACCTCCAGCTTTTCCTACTTTCCTCTGGCATGTGACCTTTCCAAGGTGACATTTTAACAGATTATTTTTAATAAAGCCGTCCTTTAATTGAGGGAGGTTTTTTGTGTCACATTTCTCTAGTTTTCTCTAGGAGAATAATATAACTTTGCTGAGTTGCACATGCCGCTACCACTGCTGACCCATGTGCTTTCCATTATTTCATCATATGAACATCTTAATATGTAATTTGATTCCACCATCTTGAAAGTGAGGTGGCAGGAATTAATATGCTATCTTATTTTCTCAAATGCTGGTACCAGTAAGCTCTCTTCACTTTTGCCCTCATTCTACAGATTGATCCCAAACCCTGTACCCCTCGAGGAATGCAGCCTGAGAGAACACGACCAAAGGAAGGATGGGTAAGGAAGTGTCTTCATGTTGCTTCATATTCATAAATTTGTCTTCATTTTGGTATCTTCATTGAAATGTGGTGGTTGTCTCCCAAGACCAAGAGGCTTTCTTGTAAGCACCCTATCAAATGCAGAGGTGCCAACTAAAAATAAATGGAATTTTCAGGAGTAAACCTAGCTGATGAGATGTCACATTTTGCTGAAAAGTAACTCACAGGGTTTCCAACAGATTCTAAAAAACAAAATCTGAAATTTCAACTGCATTTGGTGGATGCATGTTTTCATTTTACTTTGTGAGGTTGAATATCAGGTAGGCGTGAAATCTCCCATTCAGATATTATTCTAAACTGTTTCTCAAAACAAAAGTAGAAAACTCATAGAAAAATACAGTTGGATCAGTAGTTACTTTTGGTTACAACTGTTACCGTGTTGATTCCAGCAAAAATGAATGAATATTACAAACCAGGAGATGCACTGACAAAAAAATATTCTTGAATAAAAATTTCTTAACTTCCTGCCTGTTGTTTTTAGGTTATATGATCTATTGGTCTTCCATTTGACCTACCAATCCATAATAGAATTTGCCACTGATACTAGTTTGCAAAAATTTGTTTTGTAAAGTTGACGATATCCTCAGAGGACCAAGTGGTTCTATAGGAGAATTTACTTTAGTCAGATTGGGTCCATATCATGAAGAGTTGTGAAGGCAGAGAGGGTAACTCAGTTAAGTAAGGCAGGGTAAATGAACTGTAGGTGTTTATCTAACTGTTCTCCAACTTGAATCATTTTTATTTATTTTATTTATTAGCCACCCGCCTCAAAGTTCAAAGCGATTCTGAATCATACTTCTTGCCTCCTTTAATGCTTCTTTGTTCTCCTTCAAATCATTGGTTTCATCCTTTTTTTTTCTCCCAGTTGTGTTGCCATTGTTTCTACAGCACTGAAGTCCTACGAATCCCTGCTTTGCCCTTTCTATTCATCAACCTTTTAGTCTTTTCCGTGACTGCTTTCTTATGCATAAGCTATTATAGCTGAGTTCTTTCCTTCCCTGTCTTTTTTGTTCTATGTATTATATGTGGTAAATTTCAGTTCAAATGCCTTGAGGGTAAGCAAGGTAACACTTTACTCATCCATCCATCCATCCATCCATTCATTCAGTTTTAAATATTTTAGAGCTGTCAGCTCCACCAGCATGAGATGAAATATTCTTGCCAACTTCCACATGAAAGGAAATATATAACTTTTTTTTTTAAATAGAGAAATCCTAATTTCAGTACAACTCTCCCTTTTCTGTTGGTAGAAAGGATCCAGGAGTGATAGCAAGTCCCATAAAATTTTTGTTGGTGGGATCCCTCACAACTGTGGCGAAACGGAGCTCAGGGAATACTTCAAGAAGTTTGGAGTGGTGAGTTATTGTGATGGAATATATTATTTTGTGAAGGGGTGTTGTCCTTCACCTTCTAACTCTTTAAAATATTAGTTTTTTCATTTGGTGGGATAAATAAGTTAAATAAGATTGTGGTTGGTTGGTGTTCATTTGAAAAAAAAAAAAGATATTTCTTAAGTTTACAAAAGCCCTTCATTCTAACTTATTCTGTTTGAGAATTTCTGAGCTTGTGCTTTTGCTCTCCTCTTCTGACATTTTTATTAACGGGACGCCATGTAATTTGGCAGTAGAATTTTGCAACATTACAAAGCTTTGTTACATGTTTACTTTCAGGGATGGGATCTGACTGGTATAACTACCGGTTCTGTCGCTCTGAGTTGCGCGAGTGCAATTTACGACCTGCTTAGCTGCCCGGACAGCTGAGCAGCACTGTGTGCAAGTGCGCAGCGGTTGGAAAAGCCCTTTTCCCCTGCTTTTTCAACTGCAGCTATGTCACACAAAGCACCTGTGGTTGAAAAAGCAGGAAATAAAGGACAGGTAAGAGCCCAGGTGGGCGGGTGGGCCAAAACAGCAGCAGACATAGAACCGATTCTATGTATGCTCTCTGTCTGCTGCTCTTCAGAACTACCAGTTCCACAGAGGTGGACAGAACCGGTAGAATCCCACCCCTGTTTACTTTCATACGATTTCAGCAGTGGTTTTGCTGCAGAAATAATGTTTTGCTGAAGAGAGAGTTAATGGATAAACAGTATCTTAAGTAACAACCTGAAGCCTTTAATAAGGACTCGGTAACTTTCTGCTTGGACAACAATACAATTGATAAAAATTGATAAAATTTGCAATTGTTACCTTGGATCATTTGCAGATGCATTTGTTTTGTTTTTTTTAATTGGATTGGATTGGATTTTTACATTTTAGCCAAGTTTGACTCTTAATGCCCTAGTGTTTACAGGTGATGGGTCAGCATATTTGTCAGACACCAATATGTCAGCATATTTGAAAGATAGCAAACTGGGAAATTTATAATGGGAATATAAGGAGATTGTATTGTATTATAATATGGTAGTCTATTCTTGGTCCTGGTTGTTAATACTCAGGGTTTCTGGCCTTTTTGCATAAACAGGACTGACTAACAAAATAAAAACTCTGCCTCCCACCTCAAACAACTTTTTCATTGCCTCTTTGGCAAGATTGTTCAGTTTTCATTAAATATTCACACACCTTGCGTTGGGTTATATTACTTTCCTCCTCTGCTCACCCCATCCCTTAGTTTTCTTTCTTTCTTTCTCCTCTTTCCAAAATAGGTAAGTGAAAGTAGTTCGTTACATAGACAAATGCAGTTTATCATTTTATTTGTAAGATTTTTGTATGTAATACAATAGCCTTTCCTAGTCTAAATACCTTTAAATATTATGCAGCATAGTTTCCGTAATCCCTCACAATTGGCAATAACATTTGGGAAAGGTGTGGGATACAGTCCAAAACTCTGAAGGAAACCAGGTTTATATGTCAATATTAAATAGTATGGGAGGAGTCACAGTCTTACAAATGCTGTCTTCTCTACTCCAGTCCCTCTGTGCTAATCTAGTATTTATACTGAATTAGACCTATTAGCTTTCATTATAGGATTCTATTAAATCAACAAAGCCTATAAAAATAATTGTGGCAGGTAAAGATAAGAGTATATACGCTGTAAATTTTCTATTGCTTCTTATCAAAAAAGCTTCACTTAGTGAGATGCCTTGTTTGCTCACTATACCACTCAGCCATTAGGTGGTTTATTTTGCTTAACATGACTGAACCATGATAATCACATCATATTCATGACATCATGTTAAACTGTAATTTAAACATGGATTATTTCACAATGTGAAGCTACTGTTAGGGCATGTCAACAATAAAGTCCAGAATAGAAAATACTCTGGCGTTTTAGAAAATTATGACTGACAGAGAAAAATGTTTGATGAAACTAGAGCTATTACTATGTTTTCTATTTCCTTTTAAAAAAATACTTTTATTATTTTGTGGTGGTAAACTCTCCAACCGAATCCTCTCCCCAAAAGCAAGTGCAGCATATAAGTATCTTTAGGAAGGTGACTAGTGATACTTTACAGAAGCACTAAAGCTCCTTCTCTTTGGGGTTACATATGCAGTCTAAATTACAGAACTATTACAGGTACATTTTTAAAAGGGCAATGTGAAAGAAATTAGCAGTGTAGGTTTATTGGATAACTTTCTTGAAAATAAATAGTGAGCCAGCTCATATGGAAAAGGATTAGTGTAATATAGTGGGCAAAAACAGCTGCCTCCTGTAGCTGTATCTTTAAAATAGTTTATATGGCAAAAAGGACCATTTACATCTTGCCAGCCTGGAACCATATTTATTTTTATTTGTAGTAAGTTTAATTAGTTTTAAGAGAGGGTAAGCTTACGAATGCATTTTAGAGAACCTTGGCAGATATGAATTGAGTTATCTCGCTAAGTTTTATGTGATACGTCTAAGAGCTTTCGACAAAATAAAACAGCCAGTGTACCAAAAGTGCTTTTTCAAAAGGCAACTGGACCTTCTTTGTTTTCCTTGAAGACATTTCACTTCTCATCCAAGAAGCTTGTTCCATTCTGACTAAAGAAGTCAGAACTGTTGTAACTGAGAAAGCTTCTTGAATGAGAAATAAAATGTCTTCAAGAAAAAATGAAGAAAACCCAGCTGCTTCTTGAAAAAGCACCTTTGGAACAACCATGATCTGAATGACTGAGAATCTCCATAGACAAACAGCCAATTTAATATAGTGGTTAGGATGCTGAGCTTGGAGAGAACTAGATTATGCACTTGATTGTGAAACTTCTTGAATAACTTCAGTCCAATCATTTTTTTCCCTTTGCCTAACCCACTTCACACAAAGTACAATAATTAGTACCAGATGTAAAATCAGGGTAGACCTGAGGTAAATTGCCTTGAACTCACAGAAAAGACAAGGTATAAGTAAAGGGAATCAAGGGGTGTTTTTAACTATTTTGCCCAGCTGAATCAGAAACTTGACTTTCCTTTTGGGAGAAGACAGTTGTCAAGGCATAATTGGGTATGCCCCAAAAGGGAATTAATCCACAATAGAAGGATTTCCATTTGGTAATTTGAACCAAGGCAACTAAACAGTCTTCAGATTAACACTAAAACCTCACCCTGCCTCTTCCTTTTCATTATGTAGTTGTCCTTTGGGTCTAAAGTCCTCCCTAGGGAGAAATTTGCAGCTTTTAGGACAAATGTTCCTTAAAAGCCCTTGAATGATCAATATGTTCCCTTCTTTCCAATGATCTTTTGCGCTGCTGCTGTTCTTCCAGCCGCATAGGCTCAGCCTCCCCTTGTAAAAAGTAGCTTCTTGGTGCTCAACAAAAGAGCCTCTCTATGTGAGAGGGCCTTTTGCTGTAGCAGATACTGGTTGAGATGCAGAGAAGAGTTGATTGACTTCCTTTATCTTAGATTGATATGTATTCTTTTTTTTTTAACTGAAGTTCATTGTTGTTGTTTTTCTAAATAGGGGGAAAATATTCACCTCTTATTTACAAACTAATCCTAACCCTTTTCTGATTTAAAGAATCACAGGTAAACTCAAGTATAAAGTTGGGATTGAGCGATGGCTCTTCCGCACATTGTTCAGCTTCTTTTATAGGGTGTGAAAGAAAGAGGGCTGCTTGGGAAATGGGGTTGAAAGTTGAGGGAAGCATGCTGTCTCCAGGTAAAAGAAAGTCTAATCGGGAGCTCTGTATTTTTCCCTGCTCTCCATCACACTGTAGCAGTCTCTAAATTGCCTCTTGAATACACAAGCAAATCAAAGGTGAGTAAAGATAGTTATTGCGTGACAGCTACTTAGACTAACAGGCTTTGTCTGTCACCTTAGGGAGTTGAATTACCTGTTTAAAATAATTACAAAGACATATTGTAAAGTATACTGTATTCAGTGTTCCTTGTTTTTTCGTCTGGTTAAGGCATCGGTCCTCATTCCCCAGAGCTACCTGCTTTTCTTCTTTTTTTAATAAGATGTTTTTCTGCTGCTTCAGCACAATTAACCATGGCCACATCTGTTGAATGCTTTCAAAGGGCTCAGAGTAGTATTATGTACCGGATTCTCAAGAGGGGCCTTGCCTTGTCCTGTTGGTGTTTAAATGGCTGATTATTCATAATTATTCAGTACCAGTAATAATAGTAATGGCAGCATACTTCTACTGTTAAAGTGAGACAATTCAAATAGAAGGGGATTGGCCTCAGTTTGTAAGACATACGCTGGAAGAAGTTTGTTTTCTTTTGATTTTCTTCCTAATAAGAAATTATTATGGCAGCTCCAGTGCTAGTATACTATGTTTGGAGGCAGCAATGGGAAGGCTGGATTTCACCGAAGTCTCTTTAATATGCCCACAATACCTTCCTGCTATGTATTTGTGGCTTTGATTCATATTGACAGGAGTTTCTCTGAAGCCAAGGTTCTTTTCTCACACTTGGTAAGGGACAATCAAAGTAGCCAGGCTGGGAAATCTGCAGGAACCATTATTGTATAAGGAAGCAAGCCATGGAATGGTCCTTCATACCAAAGCCCCATTTGAAGGAAGGAGACTGATTTGTGAACATTGACCCAGTTAGCCACATAGCAAAAGTTCATGATAGAAGATTATATTTGTAGCTTAGGGCTAAACGGTGGGGTTGTGGTGATCTCAGAGCTTGGTTATTTTCCTGCAGACGTTTCATTACCACACTAGGTTGACATCGTCAGTGCTGGTGTAGTGCAGTGCCGCACTGATGTTGTCACCTAGTTTGGTCATGAAACATCTGCAAGGAAACAGAACTTAAGAGAGCATCAAGGATCCCACAGGAAAAGTTCAGTGATATTTTTATACTTCACTTCATCTTGCTGATAAAGGTTCGGCTGATAAAATCAGGTTCATCTTAAATTTTGTCTGATAAAATCATTAGTAGAATTTCCTTTTTATCTTTTTTTCAGGTTACTGAAGTGGTAATGATCTATGATGCAGAGAAACAGCGACCCCGAGGTAAAGAAGAATTTAGTTAACCTTTGAAATTTCTTTATCCTCTTCCTATGTCAGATGGCAAACTTACACAACATCCACATATATATGTATGGACACATGTGCTCATATATGTATATATGTCTTTTGTAAGCTGCCTCAGGAATTTATTTCACTGAGCAGACTTTCACAGAGGCTTTTCATGCTATTTTATCTAGTATTATTGTTTTAGAAGTCAGATACTACATTGCCATGTTGTTCACTTATACCACTCTGAAAAGGTGTTTTCCTTAACAAAGGCATGGCACTTGTATTGATCTGCTCCTTTCAATTAGCTCAAAAGCCACGAGAAAGGAGTAACTAGATAACTTTTGATTTTTCCACCTTTAAAGGTGGGCACCATTAAGAACCAAGCGCCTATTTTTGTTTTTAGGACAGGAATCCTTGTGAAGTGCCAGACTGGAACAGATGTTAATGCTTGCTACATTTCTCACATTTTCTTTCTTTTAAGTGGCTACAGCTGAAATTTGGAGCCAAAAGCCCTTTGTTGCTTGAAACATTCTGTGGATGGGAGTCAATGTGGCACTTTTAATTTTGCGATTCCGCTTGTATATTGGAGAAAGCAACTCCCTTAGTTGGCAGACCTGAGCCACTTACATAATTCATTTTGGGTCCCAGCAGAAAGTGGCCATTGTGTTCTCCAGCTATTCATTGCACCAGTCACCTTTCAGTAATTTTTTTTTTATAGAAGCAATACTTTTAAAACATCATCAGTGTTAATTGCATTTCAACCACACGATAGCATGTGAAACATGCTGGAAAACAGTTTGCCATCTGGACTTTCCACTTCTTCTTGTTTCTGTTATTTAAAGAAATATATATAGACATATATATATATATATAAATTCTTCACTTCATATTTATTAAGCTGTTAAGTATTAGTTTTATCTTTAATTTAGACACATCTTTAGTGACATATATAAGTGTTTCATAGTAAAAGTACAGTAAACATTAAGTTCTTTCTTTCCCTCTCTTTTTCTCTCTCTCTGTAAACTGATTTGTGATTAATATCTCTTTAGATTTCTTCTCTCTAGGTGATAGATTATCACAGAGGTACAGGCCATTTCAACAAACGGAGGAGGGACCGGGCTTTGTCTTTATTGGAGTGTAAATAAAGTTTTTACTATGTGGTGTGGGAGGAGCTATGAGGGGCAGTTGCTCTAATTTGTTTTGCAACAGCTTTGCACTATTTCAACAGAAAAATTCACTGACACAGCAAAGAGCAGCAACTTTATGTACCTATCGCTGTGTGTACTTATATGCTTAAGCTAGTAGAAGAAATCAACTATAAGAATTCTGCCTACCCGGTCCATTATTTTGTTCTCTCATTGCAAAAAAAATACCCCACATTCAAGAGTCTTGGAATATTTTGCATCAGTCCACCCCATATTCTAAGTAAATAAAACGTAAACCTAACAGATTTGTGATGGATGGCCCTGAAACTCTGACTTGCCCACATATTATCACAAAAATACTTTTAACTCACCTATAAAGTCCTTTATAAAACACTTGCTGCCTAATCTTCATCTCTTTTCCTTTTCTGACCTGCAAGCCTGTGCTGTCAATCGTGCTCCCCACTCCAAAACACTTGGAGCTGTGGAGGAAACCGGTCCTCTTGACTTCAGCTGTCCCTGCAGGCACCATTTTGTAACCAGGATGCCCCTTGAGGATTGCTGAAGAGCCACTAAAATGCTGCCTTGGCTCACTGTGTTCAATGTTCAGCTAGTTCTTCAGTGTTCATCTACAATTCAGTAATTGAATCTTACATTCCAGGCACAAGCAATCTCCTTTTAGCTTGTGGCTTACAGTACCTGCTTTTACCTGTATTCACTGTTCCCATTATGATCTTATGCCTCTTCCCCTTGGAATAAGTTTGATCAGCAAAATCAGACAGTAGGCCAGTAAAAATGAATATATTTGGCACTATGATAACCTGCAAAGGCTGCTTATAAGATTGCTAGGACAACTTCTTTATTCCCAAGTAAAACTCTAAGGCCTACTTTTTAGAGATCCTATGTTTATTGTATTTTTTTTTTCAACGGTTTTCTGAATCTTACATGTCCTCTTGCTTTTAGTTATGCTTTGTTCATAGCAAAATCAGCCAGTGGTTTCAAATCTGAGCTGAACAAAATTTCCCCCCACGACTAATAAACTTCCCAATTGAGTTGCACTAAGTCTTTTTGCAAGACCGGTTGGTGAACAGCTAATCCTTAAAACAACAAAGTCATCTCGAAATAACAATGGCTCTCTAGACTTGGAATATAGTAGTGTCACCCCTCATAAATCATCTTTATGAACCTGACATATAATCATGTCTTTACATGAGGTTTTGTTTTACAAAATCTGAATAATTAAGCTGAAAAAAAAGCCAGGTTAATTGTGTCACCAGGGAGAACATAATTTGCCCAGCAAATTGAAGATTTTTTTAAATCAATGTCAGAATTGCATATAGAAATTTAATTATGCCTATGCACAACTGTCAACCAAGCTAAAGAGCTTAATCTCCTTTGAATTATACCAACTTGGAGTTGGCATTACAGGCCTGTAGCTTGCAGAATTCCAGTCTTGCTTTTTAATCTCTACTCTCCCAGAGAAATGTGTGATTTGGTTTTTGGTATTCAAAGAGCATGCATCCATTGACTGGACCTTTCATCTCCATCTCATCTCTGCTGCTGAGTAACCAGATGGACTTCCCTTGCCTCAGGTTATCATTGGACAGTTGATAGGTGGGTCTAATTGAAAAGAGTCAGAGAAGATCACTCCATTGAGGTACCTGGTTGTTTATGGCAGAGATAGGCAACCTAGTGCCTCCAAGTAGAATTCCTCTATGCTGTTACCAAGACGGCAAGTTGTGGTCAAACATTTAGGTTCTTACCAATCAAAACATCTGGTTGGTACGACACTTGCCTATTTGGGTCTTAAAACAATTTGAAGGATGCTAGAAGCCTCTTGGACTCTCACCTTGGGAAGGGATCGTTTTGAGGATGTGAGAAAAAATGCCCTTGTCCTTTTTTCTTTCCCCCTAGACTTTTTGTTATGAAGAAACAACAAAAACCTGTAAGGAAGAAATTAAGGCATATCTGTTCTCAATGTCCTTTTTAAATCCATTTTGCTGTTGGTCTAAGTCCAACTCTACCTCTTTTAATTTGTTTAAATCTTCATAATTAGGTTCAAAATCTTATCTCTTATAAGAGTTCTTCTGATCATTTCATCAATATTATTCTTTCCAATTTCTAAAGGTATTTTCAAGGGCCCTTCTCTCTTTGCCTTGCTCTGAATATGAAGTACAGTGCAGTGCCCCCTTTGTTCATCCAGCCTCTATTTACTCTTTGGTTCTTGAGATTTCCCCCCACCCCTTCACTTCACAAACTTGTGTATGATGACATCTCTGCCCAAAGTACCCAAGTACCCTCTCTACTTTTGGTCATCCCATAAACACATTAATCATCAAGTCTGGCTCAAATTCTTTAGGTGTTGCTGTGTCTTCTCTTCTAATGCTGCAGTCCTGGTTTCTCTTTATTTGGTTCCAAGGCCTTTTTCTTTTCTCCCAACCACAAGCAAGAAAAACAACACACTATTCTATATTTTCCTCTAAAATCAATATTTAAATTTTTATATTGTGTTATCATTGGGATGCAGAAATGCCCCTTTTTGCAGTTTTCTTTTTTAAATATCCCCCAGACTCATATTTTGGCTTTTAAAAAAGGTTCCTTGTTCTTTAAAGGCTTGTGCGTCACTGGTTCAACTCCCGTTTGGTCATAATGCAAACACTTATCTGCAGGAGATGCTTTAAAAGTTGCCTCCTCCACCTCCTCAACTGCCATTTCTTAATTTGTTTCTTGCTCTTGTTGCTGACAGCAGAATTTTGACCTGCTGCAACCAATCTTGGCCTGTATCTTTGTGTCTTATTAAGTATAAATCTCTACAATAAGGCTCTACGAGTTTACCCAACTAAGTTGGATAAGCTTAGAGAGACACTAACTGTTACAGAGACTGTATCTGTTTTTCTGTTGAACGCTTTAGAGCAATAAATGGCTGCTGTCAGCACTAGCTGCAAAGCAAAATGAAACCAAGGGGGAAATCTCGGGTTTTGGGGAGGAGGGAGGGAGCCAATAAACGACCTGTCCCAAAATGTTTTGTCCCCTACCATTCTCTCTTTTTCACTTTGTGCTATTGCTCAGCTGCTTTTCTAAATTTGCCAAGTGGTATTTAAACAAATGTATGAATATCATGTAATGGAGGTTATGGATTGATTTGGCCATAGTTCCTTGATGCAGGTGTTCTGCACAGAACTTAGTCAGATTCCCCCCCCCCCCATTTGTTAGAAAGGCAAAAAAAAAAGAGTGTATCAGTGGACACTGAACCATGTTTTCTCCATCAATTAATTTTGCATGGAGTGCTGAGCTAACCATTTTATTCCCCCCTGATCCAAGATGGTCCAGTAATTGCAAACTAGCACTGAGCTTCCCACAGCCCAAGTCCACCTGAAGCCCTTGTTTGAACCCTTGGTCCGCCCCTAATACTGTTCATCATCCTGTTTTGTGTCACAACACCCTGCTACCTTGATTCACTCTTCGTCGTTGGCTAGGTTTTGGATTTATTACTTTCGAGGACGAACAATCAGTGGACCAGGCTGTCAACATGCATTTTCACGACATCATGGGCAAAAAAGTGTGTAGTTGTAGTTTTATTTTACCTTAAGACAAAGCTGAGTCTTGAGGCAACTAGCAATTTGGCTGGCGAATAGAAACTGGGTTGTAGAGCAGAGGGGGTTAAAAAAACAACAATTTGAATGGGTAAAACCACATTCAGAAAAACATTTTGTGAGTTAGTTCATATTGGATTTTTAAAAAATGTATGCTACAGCTGCCTATAGATTCCTTTGGAATGTTTTGTTTTGAGAAGAATCATGGCAGACCAACTTCCATAACAGCTAATATTTGAGTTCAGGCATCATGGACTTTGTCCAATAAACCAAGGTTTATGAGTCAGAAAAACAGTCTTTCTATCTGCTCGCACCCTTCTCTCTTGCACTTTCGCACCAGACTTTCAGGGTTGATAAACCACATCATATCAAGAGGTGTGTGAGAGAGAACAGAAGCCAAATAGGCAGCAGAATGGTTGATTGGATTGAAATTACCTCATTTGATCTGACCAGCTTGCTCATCATACCATGCAGTGCCAATAAAGGAGAATATTTGTAGCTCGGGGTTGAAATAAGGGGTCCTAAATACTCTCTGAGCTTGGTTGTTTTCTTGCAGACCTTTCATTGCTCAAACTAGGTAACATCATCAGTGCTAGTGACATTTCATTACCCAGCTAGGTAACATCATCAGTGTTAGTCACTAGCACTAACAATGTTACCTAGTTTGAGCAATGAAAGGTCTGCAAGAAAACAACCAAACTCAGCATCAAGGACCTCCTCATACCATGCACTGCTTGGAATTAGATATTCTTCATCCCCAAGTACAGAGTAGGAAATACTGAAAAACAGACAGGCTTTGTCTGTTTGAAGTATGAAACACTTCAAATAAACTGACATGGAGAAAAGCTACAATATGTCTCTGAAAACTTTGACTTTCATAATTAAGAGCACTCTATTGAGTTACAGAATGCACTAATTTTGGAATCCTAATATGTTGAAGGCCATTGCATTTGCTTGTCTAAATTCTAAGTTGTACCTTCATTGCTGTTCAGACATTTTTTGTATCTTGAAAGTACAGCATACAAAAAGGGAATGGCAGTTAACCTTTATTTTCTATTTGAATCGGCAGTGAAATCTCTATGTTGCCAAAGGCTCAGCTTCCCATTACTATTCCTTCAGATGTGTGTTCTTTGTTTCACCTTCAAACTCGGGGTGGAGGGATTTGGGGGTGTGGGGGAAGGAAGGGAAACTAAACCTAAGTAACCAATTGACAGAGGCATCCTGAAGGAATGGTTGAAATAAAAAAATGGGTCATTTACTGTGAGACTTTGAAATGAATCCACATATTCTTTTAATAGTACTTTTTAACCACAATACAGTTAAGTGACCTTTTGATTGTTGTTATCTTCATACTGTGTTGTCAACACTTCTAAAGAGGTTTTACAGGTGAAAAGGTTTCTGCCTTCTTACTTGCCTTTGAGCATGGCTTCGCTTTAGGAGCCAAGCCAGAGGAAGAGTAACTAAGAACTACAGAGTGCAGCTTTGACCTTTGTGGGAAAAGTCTGCTGAAAAGGGAACATTGAAGGCTCTTATACCAAACATAAATTATAAGCTGCTCAAAGTCTCTAGAAATGAAGCAGCAGTGTATAGTTGTAGTAATAAATTTAGGAAAGTCTTGCTGCTTTGCTGGATTGTGTCACCAAAACAGCAAAGCCTTCAACTGGAATAATTTTTCCAAAAATATTTGCTTATTGAAAAACAGGGTATCCTATCCTCTTGATGCATTCTGGTTTATATTTTATAACTGTCAAATGTTTTTTTATTTCAAGTTTAAATTATTTCTTGTCAAAACCCATTAAATTTTCCTGGACCCTGGAAGCATATTCTAGGATATCCTTATGAATACATGAGCAATTGATGTCGTTTAAACAATTAGTGAAGTTTATTTCTAAGCAAGAACTGGAACTACATCATCTTTGGTTTGGTGCTAATTAAATCCAGGAGCTGCTAACACTGGTCTGGTGAAACCAGGAGAGCAACTCTACCAAGTGCCAGAGCAGTTCAGGCAAATCTCCAGGACCTCCTGGACCAGTTTCAAAAGGAGCATCCTTCATGGTCCTTCCTGAAGAAGCATCCTCATGAACTGGAGACAAAAACTCAGATGGACCAGACTAAAGCACAGGGGCAGAATGCATGCTAAGTGAGAGCGAAACAAAGTTCAGATGCAAAGATTTTTGTTGGCTAGTAAAATGCAAATTGCTGACATCTGGGGAAATCCCACCCTATTTTTCCTCAGTCTTGAAACATTGTTACTAGGAAAACTGCAGGAGTTCAAATGTCCTAAAATCTTACTGTGAAAAGTTTAAAATAACCCATCTGCAGATAATCCTCAACTTACCATCATAATTGAGCCCAACATTTCTGTTGCTGAGCGAGACCATTAAATAAATTTTGCCCCATTTTACAACCTTGCTTGCCGCAGTTGTTAAGTGCAGCTGCTAAATTAATAATACCAATTGTTCCAAGTGAATCTGGCTTCCCCACTGACTTTGCTTGTCAGAGGGTCGCAAATGTTGATCACATGGTCCCGGGATGCTGCAACCATTATAAATATGAGTTAGTTGCCAAGCGTCCATATTTCGATCACAGGCCATGGGGATGCTGCAATGGTTATAAATGAAAAATGGTCAAAAATCACTTTTTTTCAGTACCATTGTAATTTTGAACAGTCACTAAATGAACTGTTGTAAGTTGAAGACTTCCTGTACTCTCTGTGATCTGAAAACTCATTGTGAAAGCCAGCATCCTGCTCCACCCTCTTAAACAGATGGTAACCAAATTGGTTTTAGAATATTAAACCTTGGGAAGATTCCAGGACATTTGAAGGCAGAATTGATTTGCTCAGCATAGAAGCGCAGCCTAGTATAAATACTAGATGTGGTTTTATTTTAATTCTGCCATTCACATGCCAGGTTAATTCACAAGAGAAGGTAAAGGATTCTTGATTGTCTCCCACAATAAGTCCCCCTTAGCTTTAAGGAAGGTCCCGTGCCCATTTAACTAAACTCTATAAGTAAAAATGCTTGAAATGTACCTAGAGAGAAACTGGACTCTTAAGCCTGCTCTGTTTCCAGGGTCACTAGGTGATGCAGAGCTGAATCCCTCCCATTAAATCTTGCAATTATGTTTGCTGAGTGTATTTGGATTAACCGCAGGCAATTCTATAGGGAAGTCTTTTTTTTTTTTAACATAAGCCAATCCCATTTTTAAAGCCCCACCGTACAGCGGTGCCCTTCCTTTTTGGTCTTTCCTCCCCTTCTTTGCAAAGAATGTTTTTCCATGACTGAACACAGTATGAAGGTTTTGCTTCTTATTGACTCAACTGTCCATTTTTTATTACCTGCATGTTTGTTTACTTTTTTTGTTAGATGTAATGTAAGGTTCTCTTATCACATCCATTCCTTCTGACATTGTTTGAGTTAATTGAGGTTCTTTAAGCGTTAGCCTGGGGAAGGTAAGTCTCTATCTTCCATTAGACTTTTAAATAATACTTTTAAAAAATCTTTAAGATAAAAAGGATTTGAAATCAGCAGACAATATGAATACAACGTGTGTTTCTCAGGTATGAACAAAACTGAAGAGCAATTTAATTGCAATAGATCTTAGCTATCAATTACCCTAACTTCTTTTTTCAACATTGTCCAGAACAATCCCTCCCCAAGGACCGGCTAAAGCCTTAGTACCTCCTCCATAATGTTCTCTTCACCCTTGTTTATAACAATCATTTTGGCCTATCTTGGTATCAAGATTTACATATGGAGAGTGAAAACCCACTGAGGAGATGGTACTGCTGCTTTAAAATGAGGAAGAAAGTAGCAAAACAGAAGAGAAATCACGAATAGGCATATTTTATCCTAGTACCGTATGAAGTTAAGACTTCCAGAATGGTTTACTCTGTTATCCATTGTACCTGAGAAACATTGATTAAATTAGCAGCCTTAAAATATAAGCTTGCAATACTTTTAAGTACTTAGCAATAAGTCATAACATGCTAAGATAAAGTTTTTAAGTGTAAAGATAAGGGTGTGTGTGATGGGTAAAGGGGGGCAAGCTATCTTTCTGCCTTCTAGGGCTGAGTATTTGTCCTCTTTGTTTAGGTGGAGGTGAAGCGAGCCGAACCCCGGGATAGCAAGAGCCAGACTCCAGGCCCAACAGGCACCAGCCAGTGGGGAAGCCGGATCATGCCAAGTGCCGCCAATGGCTGGGCAGGACAGCCCCCACCCACCTGGCAACAAGGATACGGACCTCAAGGTACCGGTTTTCCATTTGGGTTTTGGCATCCTAGGTGGTTTCAGTCTGCCTTGACACAGGCCCATTTATGGCATCACTCAAATCAGAATCAGGCCTGCTTGAGGCCAGCCCCTGAAGAGAAAATCTTACGGTCCTGTCAGATACAGGATTATGTGGTTTCTTGTACCACCTGATTATGCTATAATGCAATACTTCTGTGATCTTGATGGGCAGTAGAAATTCCTTATCGCTTGAATATAGAAAGACCTTGATGTACCACCAGTCACTTACTAACCATTTGAATTTACAACAGACCTGAAAAGGGGGATTCACAACCTGGATCTGAAGTTCTGACAGTTCGGGTCCCTCCAGGGTCACATGACTGATCTTCAGGCACCCAACCACACAGCCACATTTACAGTTTGCAGCAATCTAAGGTCACATTTGTGACAGTTTTGCTGAATTTGCTTAACCATTGGTTTGCTTTAATGATGGTTCATAAAATGTTATACAATTAGATCGGTCATGTGAGTGGCCCATTTTATGACCATCACAACATACAACTGTAATGGGCAGGCTCCCATGTTGAGAACTGTCTATATTGGAAACCTTCTGTAGCCTGTGTGAGAGAATACCAAGCTCTGCTTTTTCATTTGTTCCAAGGAAATTAACGTTTGCTTTCTGGAAATGGACATAAAAAAAGAGAGTCTCTCCTTGAATTTTGTCATGAGGTGGAAAGATTAAGTCCCATTTTTATCCAAATCTAATCTTATTACTCCCTTGTGGATTTATTAGTTTTGGGCATCTCCATTAGGGCTGCATCTTGAATTCCCTGTAACATTCCCCATTTTGATATCCAAATGTCTTCTTCAGAGTAATTGTGTGTAATATTAGTAACTTTCTTAATAGATAATATTAAACTTTGCAGAATGATAAATGCATAACACTGACAATGAATTGATGATACAGTTGTGGTAACTTGTTTTTGGTGTGTGTGTGTGTGTCCCCATTTCTTTTCTTCCATCTGCCTTAGGTATGTGGGTACCAGCTGGACAAGCACTTGGTAAGTATGTTCTAAGAATTTTAAAAATGTCCATATTCAGTATTGAAATTGTAATTATGCAGGTTCAGATTTTTAGCAAAATCTTATTCTGTGCACATTTTTTTGCCTTTGTTATCCAAAGATCTTTTTGCATCTGTTGTTTTGAAGCATTCGGGCCCTTTGAACAAGAATTCATAGGTTTCTTGAGATGGGAGACAATAATTGGACCTTAGAACTTCCCATAGATAATCAAAGCTTGTGTGAGCGTGTATGTATGTGTGTACATTTAATCATTTGTCAGATAACTGGGAAGATCTGGAGGAGACAGGGAATCACCCTTTCCTAGTGGCCTAGTCCTTTTTCTTCCCACATGGTGTGTTTGTGCACAAAGAGGCTGTCCTTCTAATGCCAAAACAGAAGGTAGAGTTTAGTACGGCCATGTGAAAAGTAGCTTAAACCCAGTGATATCCCAGTGGCCCTGCACAGAAGTTGTTCCATGTATGGCGAAAGAAACAGGACAATAGATATTAATCTTACTCCAGTTTCCTTATGCACAGGGTTTGTGCATTTATATATTTTGTACTTAGAAATAAAATCTCCAGTTACAGATTCTCCATGTCTAGGCTGTAATTCATCTCCACATAATTAGATTACTGGAATGCGCTCTACATGGGGCTACCTTTGAAAATGACCTGGAAACTGCAATTGGTACAAAATTCAATGGCCAGGATACTAGCAGGTGCGAGTCCCTACTGTAATAGAATTCCTCTGCTCCAGTTGCTCCCTTGGTTACCACTACATTTCTGATACAAAGTGCTGCATGGCTACAAGGCCCCGCATGGCGTGGCTGCTAGATACCTGCCGGATGAAGTGAAATCTGCCCTAGCCCAGGTGTGCATGTGGGATGGGAAGGCTTAGGGCCCCTCCCTGCATCAAATCAGGGGGACCTAATAATACCAAGATTATATTGATACTCCTCCTCTGTAGCAATCCCCAAGCTTTGAATCAAGCTGCTTCTGGAGCTACACCTTGCACCCTTCCTGTAGCTATTTCACAAGGCATCAAGACCACAAGAGCCAGTTTGGACTAGTGGTTAAGGCACCAGGCTAGAAACCAAGAGACTGTGAGTTCTAGTTCCACCTTAGGCATGAAAAGTTGGCTGGATGACTTTAGGCCAATCATCAGGAGATTGTGAGTTCTAGTTCCACCTTAGGCATGAAAGCTAGCTGGGTGACTTTGGGCCAATCACTCAGCCCAACACACCTCCCAGGGTGGTTGTTCTGCGGAAATAGGAGGAGGAAGGAGCATTAGGTATGTTTGCCACCTTGAGTTATTTATAAAAATTTATTATAGATAAATATTGTTTAACGGGCCATTTGGTGTATGTTTTTCTTGACACATTATGTTTGGGCTGCTCTGTTACTGTTACTTATGTTTATTGCCAAGCTTAGGCTTAACTGATTTCTGTATTTTAAATCTTAGTATAATGGACCAGTTCATATGAGCTTGATGGGATAAAATAAGTGGGATAAAATAATTAAGAATTGAAAAAGAATCGCTTTTGTTCTGGTGAGACTTGCTGCCAACCTGAAGTTGGATTTGACCTTTACATATTTTTTCCCTCCATTTTCAAAGCAAATAGAAGTGTCATTATGGCAGTTTTTAAATATGGGGACATTCTTGTACTTTGTCTAAGGTTGCTTTTCTAAAAAAAATATTTAAAAAGGGGTGTGGTGGGCCATTTGATAGTCTGGCGATGGAATGTTCCGGAAGTCACTGGAACGATCTTTTACCACACTACAGGTTTTTGCCTACTGTTACCTTTGGGGCATCAGTTGCGCTATCCTCAAATGTATAGGATGAAAAATATATAATAGGTGAGTCACAGAGTGACCTATGATCTATTTTCAAAGAGCTGAAGTGCATGTAATCGAAGCTTAATCAACTCTGATTAAAGCTAGAAAAGAGAATGGGGATTCCTGTGAAATATTTTGTGGAAATGGCTGCTGCCCATTGAACTCCTAATACCAAAAAGCCAGAAGAGATTTCACCCCATAGTAGATCATTCTGTCGTCTTCAGTATTGAAAAACAGCAAAAATTTGAGTGTCTGGTTTCTGCAGTTTGAATGTAAGAAATGGAAGTTGGAGACCATTTTAAATACTAAAGTATCCTAGATACAAGTGCTGTAGAACCGATTCCCAAAAGAGAGAGAAAGGAATATTCACGCAGAAGCTAAGTTATTCACACCAGAGAATGATTTAAATTGGATTCTTTCCACAGTCTCTATAGCTTGAATGCCAATTCCACAATTTGTCTTGACTTTAGTGCCTCCAAGTTTTGGAGAAATATGATGCCTAGTGCAATAGATTGGGAACACCCTTTTTCTTGGGGTTGGCTCATGTGTTAAGTACTTTTGATTTTCTCAACACACTTCTTACTGGCTCCAGGTGGGTATGGTCCCCCTCCACCAGGTAGAGGAGCGCCACCTCCACCGCCGCCTTTTACCTCGTACATTGTTTCGACACCTCCAGGAGGATTCCCACCCCCGCAGGGTTTCGCACAGGGATATGGCACCCCTCCGCCTTTCAGTAAGTACTCCTTCCAGCTCTAATTGTAACACTTTTAATCCCAGCTTTTATGAAAGAGCTCATGGCACATATCTGGCACGCTCCCGCCTGTGATAGGCTGAGAGTATGCTATTAAAACCAAGCTTGAACTTGAGCCTAAGGCTTCATGTTTTGAACTGATGCTGGTGTCCACTCGCTGCAAATTCTTCTCAAACATTATTTTCCTAGCTTTATTCCTTGATTTTAAGTTGATGGGCGATGTGGTAGCCTAGAAGTGGTGCTGTCACCTCCCAATCAGGAGACTATGAGTTCAATCCTAGGCAGTGGCAGATATTTCTAGATTAAAAAAAAGAAAATATTTGTTGTGAACTTCATGTAGGCATCAGGAAGATCATCCGTCCAGTAAACGCTTAACTCCATTCAGTTGCCCCAACTCCAACCCAATGCAATGGAGTACAGAATTGTTAAAAGAAAGAAAAAAAAATCCTTGATTTTAATTTGAGGGGATGTCTTTGAAAAGCTCTTGCAAGATGGCATTTCCCTTTGTTTCCCTAGCCTTGCTTTAAGTCAGTAAATTAGCAATAACACAGACTTATATACTGCTTCACAGTGCTTTACAGCCCTCTCTCTAAGTGGTTTTACAGAGTCAGCATCTTGCTCCCAACAATCTGGATCCTCATTTTACCAACCTCAGACGGATGAAAGGCTGAACCAACTTTGAGCCTGATGGGATTCGAATGCCAAATTGCAGGCAGCCAGCAGTCAGCAGAAATAACCTGCAGTACTGCACTCTAACCACTGCGCCATCACGGCTTGGGGAACTTGGGACGTGAGTTGTACTGTAAAAACTTACCCTATTTCTGTTCCTCCCTTTAGGCTTTGGGTATGGTGCCCCACCTCCTCCACCTGACCAGTTTGCTCCTCCCGGGGTTCCTCCACCTCCTGCCACCCCTGGGGCAACACCACTCGCTTTCCCTCCACCTCCACCACCATCTCAGCCAACTCAGGACATGAACAAGCCTCCAGCTGCCCAACCAGATTTCCCCTATAGCCAGTTTGGTAAGTGACAGTTCCAAGAGCTGTGGCCCTTTGTCTGGGCCCCAGCTTTTCCCTGCTGCTTGTCTTTCTTTCTGCTACCTTTCATTTTGTTTGTAATAATATTGTTGGGAAATAGAATTAGGGGGCTGTATGTGAGTAATGTTGACAAAGGATCTCCCTATACCCTTTGTCACCATGGTATCAATTTCACATTTTAAAAATTTGCCAGCTTTAGAAACTTAGGGTCATCATTTGTCAAGGTAACTGATCCCTGGGATCCAGACAGGATAATCATGTCCTCTGCCCATTCATGGGACTAGTAGAGAGTAGCCATTTACCATTTAAAGATGTAGCTATCGTTTCTGCCTTGAGGAATAATGGTTTGATATGAGGGTGGCAGAAAAACAAGAGTTGAAAGGTATCTTGGAGGTCTTCTAGTCCAACCCCTGCACAGGGGCAAGGGCAGTAGTTTTGAATCTAAGTCATGTGAATTTATCACAGGTAACAAGTTCCATCTTTCTTGAACTAAAGAGTACTTAAAAATCATCTGAAAAAAATAAGTTGTACAATGCATAAGTATATATTTCTTTATGTAAAAGTTAGTTGCAAAAAATTGTGCGTACATGAATACACAATCCTTTCAGGAAGATAATTGCAATTTTCAACATTCAAAACTGGATGAAGTCACAGATTTTACATTTTGAATTAAATAGCTCAATTTCACCACTATTCGGATTTATTCTTGTTTAGTAACCTTAGCGCTGCTTTTTAGTTAATTCTAACGTCCTAATATTTTAGCAGATATTCCATAAAGATTCTTATCTTGCCTTCTTAGATCCAGGCTGACTTCCTTCTGGGATTGCAGGGATTCCATTTACTTATGAAAAAAAAAAATTCTCCTCCCATCTAGCAGGAATTATTTTATAATAAGGACTAAGGCTATGTTAGAAGCAAGGTACACATAGTCCTCGATTTACGACAGCATTTGGGACTAGAATTTCTGTCGCTAAGCCTTGCAGTCATCAAAAGCAATCACTTAGCAACAGCAATCCCTGCAGTCCCGGTTGCCATCATTAACTGAATCCCACAGTTGTTCGGTGAGGCAACTTCCTGGTGGTTTCTCTCAACCAAGTCCATGGAGAAGCCAGCAGGAATTGGCAGGTCTCAGGTGGCCTGCATGCAGGATGGTAGGCAGGTAAGTAGGTGCTGCTGAGTTGGGAAGAGTGTCAGGGGATGCATAAAGGAAGTGCAGTGAGGGTGCAGAGGGATGTGAGGTACAGTGAGGTTGCATGGAAGTGGGAAAGAGTTGCAGTGGAGTACGAGGGAGGTGTACAGCAAAGCTTGGGGAGCAGAATGGGACAACTCGCCTCGGCCAACTCCCCACGTGACAACTCACCGCAGGATAATTTAATAATTAAATGTAATTATTTAAAATAATTTTTAAATATATTTTGTTTCTCATTCATGTTTCATTTTGCCCCTCCTTTTGCATCCTTTAATGATTCTATTCCATCACTTACTGATATTAATAGAACTCTCATTCCTTGGTGAGTTGTCAGAGGCAAGTTATTCTGTGATGAGTTGGCGGGTTGTCATACACCCCTTGGGAAGGGTATTCAGATACCAGGGGCAAAAGCAGTACTACAAGTACCAGGCGCAAACACAGAAGGGCTGAGGAAGGGTGGATGTGTGGGGGAGAGTTACCCCATCTGGTGGGAGAAGGGTGTTGCAAATGGTGATCATGTGATCATGGGGCATTACAACTGATCATAAATGCAAGCTGGTTGCCAGGTGCCTAGATTGTAACCATGTTAGTGCAGCAGTGCTTGGATGACTGAAATGCGGAGTTCCAGTCATAACAACCATTCCTTCAGCGCCGTAGTAATTTCAAACAGTCGCTGAACAAATAGTCGTAACCTGAGGACTATCTGTAAAGCTTTTATTAGCTGGAAGTGAAATACTCATCACTTGATCTTCATAGATCAGCTAGTTACAATTGAACTAATCTGGCCCTGAATGCAATCCCCTTTTCCCCCGTGCTACAGTCTTACACATGCATATCCTCCAGAGTTCATTTTCTTGATGATCCACATTTTTTTCTTTCTTTGCCTCGATGACACAATTGACAGATGTGCTGCTCCCCATTTTTAGGTTTCTGGGGGAAATCAAGAAAACAACTGCAATGATTATGACTCTCTTCTTTCTTTTCCTTCCCCAAGCATTATTCTGGAATATTATGTTCCATATTCCTTAATATGGAATTTCTGATATTAGGATTTTTAAAATCTCCTTTACCTTTAGTGTAACATAGAAAACTATGTCATCCAAAACTCTGATTGTGCTCTTCCAATTCTAAAATCCTTTTATTTCTCAGCAGAACCCACTCTTCCATCCAAACTAAGTTGTAGGCTGAAAAATACAATTTCAAATCAGGCAATCCCAGTCCTCCTTGTTCCTTTGCATCCTGAAATATTTCATATTTAACCCATTTCTTTCCGCTTGCCATACAAACTTAGAAATGTCTTTCTGCCTTTGTTTAAATGGTAGATGTCAGAATAGATATTGTTTGAAACAAAAAAGAGTCATCCTTAGCAAAATATTCATTCCAGTGACAATTGTGATTTCTCCCACCTTAACATGTCCTTCTTAATTTTACTCTATGTCCTATCATAATTCTGATATAACATGCAATTCATATTAGTCATAGTGATAGCCAGTTTTTCAATTTTTTCTCCATCTTAAAACCATTTTCCCCTCAATTCCATTTGCCTTTGGATGTTTATATTCTTCATTAATATTTCCATCTTTTGTACTAATTTTAAGAACAGCTATTTAAGTTAAGAGTCGTACTTGCACTATTTAAAGAGATCTTTCCTTTTATCAAATGGCTTAGAAATCTTTTGACTTTTGAGTAGAGGGAGGCTAATAATGAATGAATGTTTGGAATGAAAAAAAGAAAAAGATGAATGAAAGTGTCTTCCATCTCCCATCAGGAAGTCTTCTTCATTTGAGCGTTGCCTAGAAGTACCTTATTGAAATTGTCTGCACATAATGGATGGTGCATGTGGAATTCATGTTTTGACATCTGTTTTTATGTCAGACAGATCAAAGCAGTAAAAATGTACACTATTTAAATATTCTCCTTGGCAGATTCTTATATTAAGGAAATTATCAAGTGTTTTCCAGTTATATCAGGCTGGGTCCCTAGCCCTCAGTCTGCAGGTTGTTGTGAACTGGTCTGCACAAGTGGCGGGCAAGTGCACAGAGCTTCATTTGTGCACACGCAGGATCTAGGTTGCACGTGATGAAAAAAACCCTCCCAGCACTAGCAGTCCATGAAGCCAGAAAAATTGGGAACCATTGAGTTATACTCAAGGAATGTTGAGGGGCAGATGGCCTATTGCCAGAGCTAACTGAATTGTTATGATAAGCACACTTAATATCTCATGCTATGTTGCACAATCCTTAGGTCATCCTTGCCAAAATTAAATTCCAAGAGGACAGAATTTAAATAGTCAGACTAAGGAAAGATATATTTGTCATATTCTAACAAGCTCATATTTACACACACACACACCCCTTTTTATAATTATATGGAATATTTTCTTAATATTTTGACAGGAGTTTTGCATAAAGTCTATCATCCGGTTAAATCACTAATTTTTCAAGAGAGGAACCTAAGAGAGAATGAAAGACAGGGAGAAATACAGGGAGATTATGGCTCTTGTTATATTCTTTAATATAACTCCGGTTTACCTCCTCTAACAAAAAAAAATATAGATCTCAGTGGAGCAAAGTATTCTGTGAAATATATGTACCCAGAACTTGATAAGATCCCTACCGAACTTCTAACAGCTCAGCAAAAATTATACATTTAAGACTAAATAAGTTCTTTTTTCATGTATATGTCTACACAAATACTTAAGCAATATAACCAAAGGGTGGGTGTTGTTGTTTTTCCCTGTTTTGCATGTTACCATTTCAAAATACATAGCTGTTTCTAAGATACTTGCAGTAGTGGGGTCTATAGTTATGGCTAAAAAAAAAAAAAAAAGACTCTGGCGCTAGTCCAGACTCTTCAGCACCAATCTCAAATGAAAAAGTGATCATCCTAAGTTTGCAATATGGGTAAGTCGTCCTTTCCGCCTTTCCAAGAGAATTGTAGCTTTTGTGCAGGGCTCTCTTGGGGGTTTAGTCACCCTGGTTTCCATTTTTTACCAGGGCTGGGTACCTATTCTCAAGAACCTTCAGGCTTCGGGCCAATACTTTGTTTTCACACTTATGGTCAGGCTGAGAAGTGAATTACCGTAGGTAGGTGGAGCCTATTTACACCAAATCCTCTTACTTGTAATCTCTTGTGGGGAGGGAAGGGGGTGGCGGGAGACAAGTAACCTTTTTTTTTTCATTGCAGGGGTGTTATCTCTTTCAATGTATGGAAGAGCATAAGGCATTCTTTCCACTGAAAAATTATTTCAAGGAGTCATTCATCTCACCCAAGCTTGTTTTGCTACCATACTCAAATAGTTTGCTGAATTACTTATTTAATAACCCCCCACCCCCACCCCCCCAAAAAAATTCCGCTGTTTTTCACACAAACATTGTTGTGCACATCTGCTCTGGGGTTTAGGGGTGGTAACCTTCTGCTCTTGTAATGTACACTTCTTCAAATTGGCTAAAGAGGATTTTCTCTTGGGGTGGGTGGGATAGGTGAAATATCAAGGTTTGTGGATAGAAGAGAATGCCTCAATTTTAGAAAAATGTATTGATGATAATGAGTTGGATCACAGATTTACAAATTTGGGGGTGTTGTGTGTGGAAGAAGACTCTTACTCTTCCCACACTTAACTTGGTTGCAAGGGAAAAAAAGGTTATTTAAAATAATTATTTGCTTTTATATGACCTGTGATAATCTCACCTTCACTTTGGGGCACAGTCCAGATTTTTTTTTTTTTTTTAGAATAAATACGACAAGTCCAATTTAATGTGCAAGGAATTAAATGAATGAAATGCCTCTGATAAAAGGTCAGTGGAGAAGCTGCATGTGATGAAGAGTTACGGGTCTCAACAAATTAGGCTTGTGGGGGTTTTTTAGTACGAAATTTGCGAAGTTGATTGAGCCAAAAACATGAAGATTAAAAAAAAATAGCAGAAGAGGAAAAAGTAATACAGGTAGTGTTCGACTTACAATGGTTCACTTTGTTACCGTTGAAAATTACAACGGCACTGAAAAACGTGATTAATGACAATTTTTCACACTTGTGATTGTTGCAGCATCTTCATGGTCACATGATATGCATTTGGATGCTTGACAAGTGACTAACATTTATGACATGTCCTGAAGTCATGTGAAACCCTTTTGCGACCTTCTGACAGGCAAAGTCAGTGGAGAAGCCAGACTCACTTAACAACTGTGTTACTAACTTAGCAACTGTGGCAAGAAAGGTTGTAAAATGGGGAAAAATTCACTTAACAAATGTCTCACTTAGGAACATAAACTTTGGGCTCCATTGTGATTGTAAGTCAAGGACTACCTGTAACTATCAGAAGTTGTTTTGCAAAAACCTAAAAGAGATGTTTTTAACATTCTGACAAATTAAAACTTTCAGTTTAAACTGGGTTTAAAATAAGTCTAAAAGGTTAAACTTGAATCTTTTCTTACCCCCTTGCAATTTCAGTAACACAAGTTTCAAGTTACAGAGCCATTGGCGCAGTACTAAAGGGATCAGGTTAGAAATCAAGAGACCATGAGTTCTAAATCCTACCCTGGGCATAGCGACAAACTAGGTGACCTTGGTTGATCCTCTCTCTCAGCCTTAGGAGGAAAAAGGCAAGGGAAAAAACACTTCCCCCAAACGTTGCCACGAAAACTTCAGGGATTTGTTCAGGCAGTCACCAGGAATCGAAAACTCTCTCAGGTTAACTATTGGAACGAAATTCTAGATACCTTTTTCATTGGCAACCTTACACACTGAAAAATGAGATTTCTCTAGAAATAGACATGTCTTCGATCTTAAATTAAATATCAGGGATACTTCAGTCTCTTAATTTACCATTAGTGAATTGCCAGTACCTTAAAGAAGAAGATGGATTTTAGATCCTCTTTCTCCCCCCCTTCCTTCCCAGTTTAAATTCTTGATATTCTCAGTTAAACAGGTTTCTCTCACCTGAGAATCAAGCTGATTGAAAACTTTACAGGCGTTCTTAAAGTTTCTGAAGGGAACTGTGGCCAAGCTTGAAGAAGATCATATGAGTAGTCCTTGACTTATGACTGGTTGCTTAGAATTCATTGGAAGTTACGACAACCTCCTTGGAGTACTCACAACCCAGTTATGACAACTGGGGTGTGGCAGTCACATGATCTTGTGTCAGACGCTTGTCAACCATCCTGCATTTATGGACATTTGCAGCATCCCATGGTCACATGGTCATTTTATGGGGAAGGCGGGCGGGGTTGCAAGAAAGGGCATTTGCTGGTTTTCAGCAAATCCTGGCCCACAGCAAACAGTTTGTGTGCTTAACAACCACAGTCACTGTAAAAAAAAGGTCACCCAAGTCAGTTTGTGACTCAGTTTACAACTGTCGCAACATATGACTGTGATTAGCAGGCTGCATTATGGTTGTAAGTCAAAGACTACATGTAATGTGAGACAGGAGAAGTGAACCGCATATAAAATTCAGTTAATGAATACACCCAATTATTTGAATGAGGAAGAGAGAGCTAAGTTTTTTTTAAAATTCTGTTAAAATGATGCAAAAGGCAGCATTAGTCCAGCACTTCTGAATACATTCAGATACTGTTAAGTGAAAGGATTTTGAGAGATATTTGGTAGGTTTGAATGCTAATTGCATTAAAAGAAGGAACACTGTGCAAATACAGAACTACATGAGACTATCTCGGTTCCTTTAGCCTATATTTCTACCTCTTTAATGATCAAAGAGGATTTGATACAGTTTAGAGAAGGTGCTGCAGTGACACTCTGTTTATTTCAAGATATTTCCATGCCTACTTTCTCTGAATTTTCTTAACCAAGAAGGCAAAGGACAGATTTCAAGTTACAAGGAGTCCTCTTCAGGAAGGAATATTTGAAAGAAAGCAAAAAAGCAAAATCTGAAAATATTATTCCAGTTGGCTCAGTTATGCAAGTTTGCACATGAACAGTCTGTGTGCTGTAGCATTAGAAAGGTGAAATTGTACAAAAACACACTCCTTCCCTTCAGCAAACAAGGAAATTGATGTTCCTATTTATGGGAAATTCCTATCTATAGATTAGGGTACAAGGGAAGGCACTCAAAAAAAATCGGTGCAATTGACAATCTGTGCAAAATCTGTGCAATCTGAGCAATTGTGAAATCAGAATGCTGGAGTAGGAATAGTTGGAGTAGGAGCATAAGTTAGCATTCATGCTAACATGCCCACATCCAGAAGGTCCTAGGATCAGCCCCTGGCACCTCCTGTTGAGCAGCATTGGAAAGGAAATGAGGGGGGAACATTCCTGAAATTCCCAAGATTGAATCCCAATGCCAGCAAGAATAGACTGGAGTGGGCTGGGTGGACCACTCTTCAAATCTGGTATGATGCAGCTCCCTATATTGGAAGTCTCATCTCTCCTTGCTCCTCAATTTCTTCTCTTTTATGATTTTTTTTAAGTTGGGTGGGATTTTTCAGGAAAAAGACCTGCTTACAGTAAAGAATCAAGCAGCCTAATCCCTATTTCTGTTAGTAAGTCTGCAGATTAAATCAGAATGGTTTTGTCAAGAAGTCTGTTTGCAAGTTAAGTCAAGCTGCATCTGCTCCAACGTCTTGGGTGATTTGCTGGTTTTGTTCCTGTTAACAAACAACCTTGCAATAAAACTAGGCAGATACCTAGACGTTACCAAGAAGTAACTTGGCTGTGGAAAGCATAAAATTGGCGGGAGAGTGTTCCTTTTTCCATCCCATTTTCCCTACTCTTTAATACTAAAATACTGTCCTATTCACAGACCCAGAACTGCAAAGTACTACGGTATCAACTAATGATGGTATGAACAATGGTATTTATCAGGAAGAGTATAATCTCAAGATTGAGTTGGCCCTAACCCTGCTAACTTTTTAGAAAGCCTTGAAAACGCACATTTGTTCCTGGGTGTACAGGAGTGGAAGGGTTGGGGATTGTGAGTTAATCATTTTGAATTATTATAGGTCAGTGTCTTACTTTGGTGATCATTAAATATATGCTGGGCTATTTAAATATCTTATGTATATTATGTGTGGTTAGTCACCCAGAATCTTTATAATGAGATGGCCATACCAATTGACCATATACAGGTAATCCTCGGCTTACAACCATTCATTTATTGATTGTTCGAAGTTACAATAGCACGAAGTTACAACAGTGATTTATGACCATTTTTCACACTTAACGACCATTGCAGTATCCCCACTGTCACATGATCAAAGTTCAGACCTTTAGCAACTGGCTGATATTTGTCCTTCGGTCAAGTGATCACCTTTTATGATCTTCTGACAAACTAAGTCAATGGAGAAGCCAGATTCATTTAACAACCATGTAACTAAACAGCTGCTATGATTCACTTAACAATTGTGGCAAGAAAGGCTGTAAAATGGGGCAAAACTCACTTAACTGTCTCATTTAGCAACAGAAATTTGGGGCTCAGTTGTGATCATAAGTCGAGGAATACCTGTCAATAAAGCTGGAGGAGAGTGTTCTGCAATACCAGCACCACCCAACCTGCTAGTATGACACCAGTCATGGGTGAAGTCGATGGGAACCACAGGTAGTCCTCAACTTACAACAGTTGATCTGGATGACTGAGAATCTCCATAAACATTCGGCACTGAAAAAAGTGACTCATGACCATTTTTCAGACTTACGACTGTTGCAGCATCCCCGTCCATGGTCATGTGATTTACATTTGGATGCTTGACAACTAACTCACACTTAGGATGGTTGCAGTGTCCCTGGGTCACGTGATCCCCTTTTGCAACCTTCTGACAAGCTAAGTCAGTGGGGGAACTAGATTCCCTTAACAACCGGGTTACTGATTTAACAACTGCAATGATTCACGTAACAAATTTCTCACTTAGCAGCATAAATTTTGGGCTCAGTTGCGGTCATAAGTTGAGGACTACCTGTAGAAATCTGGCAGTCACCCCGGTGTTTCCTTCCTTTGGCCTGGAGTTTTTTATTCTGGTTTCTTTGGAGTTCAATTGCTGACTGTTGGTAGGATTCCATCTCTTGACTTTTCATCAACCCTCTCCTTTTATTTTCTCCCTTCCTTCCAGGATACGGACAAGACTTGAGTGGCTTTGGACAAGGCTTTGCCGACCCCAGCCAACAGCCCCCCTCCTATGGAGGCCCTTCAGTACCACCCTCAAGTGGGCCGCCCGCAGGGGGCAGTGGTTTTGGCCGTGGACAGAACCATAACGTTCAAGGTTTTCACCCCTACCGACGCTAGCGTGCCCACCTAGAAATCAGGGAGTTCTGTCCAGAGCAGGATATCTGGTATCAGCTGAAACCCAGGAAGCCCAGACTTATGAACTTGTGACAATCACCTACTTTACCAGAGGGGGAGGGGGGGGAACCACAAATGTAACATCTTTTGGAGGGGTGTTGGGGGAGGAAGAGGAGGCAGCTTTTGAAAGCAGAGTTGTCTGTGGTGTTTGGACTGCATTTTTTTTTTTAAACAAAAAAATTTTTTCTTTAACCCATCAGCACAAAATAAAGAGTGTCACTGGTTCAAACTACAGGGTTTTAAAAATGTCTTCAGCTTTAATTAAAAAAAAAATCTTCAGGTTTCTTTATTTTTGTTGAAAATTTATTTTTTTTCCTGAGCCTTTGTTTTACCATATATTGTAAACTTTATGTTCAAAGAAGAAGAAAAATATATACATTTACAGATTGTGAGATTTTTAAGAGAAATTTTCTACTATGTATGCAGGCTTATTTTTTAATTTAAAAGAAAAAAAAAACAGGGTTTCCATTAGCACTGCTTAGAGGGTCAAGTTTTGAACCTCCTTTTGTTAATGTGGTTGGTCCAGAAACTGAGTTATTAAAAAAAAAAAGTGGGAAGTGGAAATAGGAAAGGAATTTTAAGTATGTCCGTTTGTCATTTTGTTACTGGTTTTGGATCTGATTAAAAAGTCCAGGAGCAGAGTTGTTTGAAAGGGGTCAGCGTATCACTTCTTGAAGCACAGCATTTCAATTGAGGCTTCATGTTCTTTAAAAAAATTCTTTGGGGATATGAATTTCTTTAAGGGGGTTAATGGAAGCCTTGTGAAGATGTAGATTTCCCTCAGGCAAAAAAAAAAATAAAAAATGGGGGTGCATTTTGCACTAACCAGCGATTTCCCCTGGTTTGAATAAAGAAAAGTACATTTGGATTAGAAATGCAAACTTGTCTCCACTTTTTTCTTTTTTTACAAAAAGTGCTTGAATTTCTCGTAGGACCTGCTAAACTGCAAGTTACTTTTGGGATTGTATTGGTCATCAAAAGCCATTTTCTCATTTCTCTCTTCTGCCACTTGATAGGTTTGTGCTGTGTGATTCATTGAAACTCACATGCCTGTCAGCTACTTGCCCAAAATGATTCCTGCTCAGTACTGCACACAAAGGACAAAACACAACCAGAGGAAGCTGGTGTCAAAAAAGGTTATTTCTGATATCCCAAATGTCCTTCAGGCTTGAGGCCACTTGGCAACTTTTAAATCTGCCAATTCTTAACTTTTTCAAAATAAAGCCACTTCTGCCATAAGTGTGAAGTGGCTCTCATTGCTGACTCCATCTTGTTTCTGATAAAACACAAAGAAAGTGCTTGGATTCCCCTTTTCATGCAGTCGTAGCATGTCAGTCACCAGCACATAATTGGGTTGTGTTGTGTGTTAAAATGATTTTGCTGTCAGGGAGAAAATTCCTAATTTTATCAACAGGATCTGCAGGTAGATGCACCCGTTTCTATCTTTGCAAACGTAATGGGTTAAGTATTATTTGTATGTTGTACAATTCCAAGAACTTCCAGCAAATTTACATTGTCAAAATATCAATTACTCCAAAGGAACAAAGCCACCAACCCTATCTAGTGTCCTTAACCCAAAACAACATTACAGATTTAAAAACCTGTGAAACAGCCTTATCCTAACCATCTACTAACTACTAGGAAGGAGAGCATCATCTGAACCTCAACTATTCCAAAGGAATAGGAGGTTGACAGAAAATCTTGTCTCTTGCTCCAAACCCTTAGGAATCAAGCTGTAAAGCCCCCCCCCCCCATGTTAAAAATCACATTGAATTGTATTGTTAAAATCTATTGGCAGTCAGTGCAGTCCTCACACAACTAGTGTTATTTTTTTACCCTCTAGCAAGTGAGCAACTGCATTTGGCTCTGTTGGCAGTTTCTGAACGGTAACGACCGCAGAAGAGTGCAGTGAAAGATGTGGGTTACTTTTGCCCAGGTGTCCCATTCCAGGAAGAGAGCTCCACCTGCCCATCTACCTGTGAATTTCCAAGTCAAATGCAGAGACAGTCCTCATCTTAAAACTGTTTAGCGACTGTTCAAAGTTACAACAGCACTGAAAAAAGCGATTTACAACCATTTTCACACAATCATTACAGCATCCCCCTGGTCAGGTGATCAAAATTCAGATGGTTGGCAACTGGCATGCATGTATGACGGTTGCAGTGTCCCTGGGGGTCATGTGATCACCTTTTGCAATCTTCTGACAAGCAAAGACAATGGGGAAGCCACATTCACTTAAAACAGTGTTACTAACTTAACAACTGCAATGATTCACTTAACCGTGGCAAGAAAGGTAAAATTGTGCAAAACTCACTTAACTGTCTTGCCTAACAATTGAAGTTTTGGGCCCGATTATGGTCATAAATTGCACCCCATTCAGAGTCACAACCGGAATTGAGGGAACGAATTCAGCTACGTCTTCCCAATCCAATGCATTGATAGGACTTCTATTGCATCCATACCTCAACATAGGGTGGCGATATATGAATGTCAATAATACACCAAGACCACATCCTAAATCAACAGTCACTTTGGCTTTATGCAGATGCTGAAAAACGAGGGAAGAGAAACTATTTGGTTGATTTTTCCACTTCCGCCCATCAAGGGGAACTTCCATTTCAGGAAGTGAAACTGCTATAGCACTGGGTCTCTATTCTGAACCTTCAAAAGCGGCCCAGAAGAACACCATGAATGATGGAATTAAATGCTAAGAGCCCAACAGTGGTAGTTCTTAGGCTCTATTGTATTTCCAAAATAAACCCTATTAATAAGATGTTGGGTGAGTCATTTCTTCAGATCTTGCCTTAGGCAAATTTGAAGGTCACCGTCAGCTCAAAGAAGACCACAGAACAATGTTCCTGCTGATCCTTTTCCAAAAGAGAGTAGGCAGCTCTAAACTAGGTTTCTGGGACATAATCTGAAGCAATCGAGATGGAGAAACCTTGATTCTTGCTACTCTTACACTCTTGTTGCCATAGTATAGGCTCAGTCATGAGTTATCCACATTTGGTCAAGTTCATTTCTAACTTCTCTCAGCTAGTACTCCATCAATTGCTATATTTTCTGAAGCTGCTTGGTAAACCAAGGATTGGTGAACTAATAAAGGAGAATATTTGTAGCTCAGGGTTGACATGAGTCCTTGGTGCTCTCTGAGCTTGGTTGTTTTCTTGCAGACATTTCATTACCCAAACTAGGTAACATCATCAGTGCTACTTTAGTATAACCCCTCAGAGAAGTCACTGACGGACAATCTTGCCAAGAGCTTTGGTTGTCTTTCTTCTGGAATCTGACCAGATATTTGGCAGAATTGTTCCAGGGATTGCTGAGAAAATCCCAAAAGTGCCCATTGAAATCCAGGAGGATACACCTGACAAATCATTTTCCCAGTGGCCACACCCTATGGAGATCAACCACAGCCCTAGTCTTAATATGGACTAGAAAGTGATCTAAGTGTGGGCAATGGATGAATCACAGTGTCCTCCATCATCAGATCAAATACCACCCACTCAGATTAAAAGTGGCCTTTGGTCTATTCATCTAGTTCAGAGCTATGCTGGCTGAGGTATTCTGGGAGTTGAAGTCCACAAGTCTTAAAGTGGCCAAGTTTGGGGACCCCTGTTCTAGTGGATGAAATGCCCCTGGGGATTATTGCAAATTATATTGCACAAGTTATTTTCAGCTGGTCCAAGTGGAAATATATAGTTGGGAAACAACAGGTGTCTAAGGTTTCCTTAATTCTCAAAGATCTACTATGACCGTTTATGAACCAAGGGCATAAAAGGTACGCCAAGGAAGTTATTAAAAGTAAATAGGTCTATAACTAGCTATCCTCATTTGCTGCCTATGTAGGGGGATATTGAAGGAAGATGCTCCCTTGATTCTTGTAAACTTTAAGCTTGTAATCCGCCATATATATTGAAGATAACAAGTGATTTGCATCTTACATTTACATTTGATTTGATTTGTCAATCACATACAAGATACAGGTAGAAGAATAAATATAGTTTTGAATACGTGAGATAGATACTTATAATAAAAAACAATAGGACAGAGACAGCAGGCATGATTGGAAGACATGAAAAATGGCTGCTTAGCTGGGCCAGTTTCCTTTCCCCAACCCACCTCACGGATTTGTTACATAATTATACGATTTAAAAGTGAGATCATATATTAGTTTTTTAAACCATACTTTTGAAGTAGGCAGAGAAAGAATAATGTATACCAGGCAATGATGCAATTTAAACTAGTGTTCTCAACATGCTAGCTGGGGAATTATGGGAGTTGAAATCCACATATCTTAAAAGTTGCCAAGATTGAGAAAATACCGAGCTAAAAGTCTTTCCTATAAAACCCCAACTTGTGAACCTTTTCCAAAACTGTGAAGATCTGGCTGTTTTCCCAGGGATTTGGGTCACAAATTTTATATATGAATTTGCCATCCTTGCATGAATGCAAAAACTTAATTGGTTTCTATCATATGGGGCTCAAAAAGACCACAACTGAATCCAGCTTCCAAATTGTTTTAAAAATCCCGGTAGTAGCGTCATAAAAATCTCATTCCAAAAGATAAAATTGTAAAATTGTCCTAAATCTTTTATATAATTAGCATTTCAGGTGTCTTGAAATTATAGGTCAATAACAAACATTCTTAACCCATTCACTTTGCTTTATTTCCCATTAAGACAATATTATCTTATGGAGCAGTCGAAGGGGTTAAAAAAGAGCACAATACTGCCCCATACAGTATCTTTTCCGAAGTTCCGCATGCGCATCACGTCCTTTCCCAACTGTGGGCGGAAGCGGTAGCTTCGAAACGGGGGGCGGAGAGAGAGAGAGAGAGAGAGAGAGAGAGAGAGAGGTTGGGATAACCGTCATTCTTGTGCGACCGGAACTTGGTGGTTCTCGCGATATCAAGAGCTGGGTCGCGCGAGAATTCGGCCTTTTCTCGAAGAAGACTGCGGCTAAGATGGTGCGTATTTTTAGGAGAGTGTTTCGCTCGGGCTTTGAAATCTGCATCCATCCGACTGTAGAGAGAGAGGAAGGGCGGCCTTTTGGGTCGCTTTAGTCGTGAAAAAGGGATGGGAGAAGGAGATGAGAAGGGCCGGGATGGGAAGGAAGGGGAAATTAGGAGAAAATGGAAGAGAGACTAGCCAAAGCCGGATGAATGGCTGGCGAGAGCATTATTTGGGCCCAGGACTAGCATATATTACTATTTTGTCATAATTATTTTTTATAAATAAATGAATAAATATCCTGCCCAGAACCACCGTTTGGGAGAGTGGTTGTCATAAAAGCCTCAACATATCTAGAGAAAGCTGGAAAAGGGTTTTTTAAAAAAACCCACAGTGCCTCTGAGCATTATCAGAGTTTCCCAAAGCCAGAAAAAGGAAGGTGCTCACAATGCACGTGGTTTGGTTGGGATTCCTTGGGCCTTTTAATAGCATTTTATTGCTTGAATTCGCAGCCTGCTGACGGCCCATAGAGAAGTGGGGCGGGGGGGGGGGAACAGTGATAGCAAGGCGGTTTCCTGCCTCGCCTTCTGAATTTCTGCCCTTTTGTGTATCCATCACATGTTGTGGCCCTCTGGATGTTAAGTTGTATTCCCCCCCCCCCCTTCCCCTTTTTGGGTATTCCTTCCCCGTGGGAAAAAAAGGGTTTTTAACACTCGAGCAAGTATTTGGAGAAAGGGGGGAAGGGGGGGGGGGGCGAATTACATTCGTGTTTTTTTTTTTAGGGGGTGTGGAGTGTAGCCAGAATGTGGATCCATTGAAGTGATGGGAGAGCCACGGCCTGCGTGTTTTGGTGGGCTGAAGGATAATGGCTGTAAATTTCATTTCCAACAAATGGTCGTCCCAATCTCTTTAAAATGTCCAGTGTTGTA